GCCTCATCCAGCCTGGCCTCGGACGCTTCCAGGAATGGGGCATCCACAACTTTTCCAAGCACTATATGACATGAGCCAAACTATTATTCATACAATATTCTTGCTGAAAATAAAAAAACCCAAAACTTAGGATGGGCTTGAGGATGCTAGGACAGTCCATATTTAACAACAGCATAGATAAGGAGCTTTGTAATCTCTATTTTATTTATATGGAGTGGGGGAGAAAATAAGAATTACCTTTTCAATAACGTTTACATCAATTTTTGTACCTCTCAAGCAAAGATGTCATAATAGTTCACATATTTAGCATGGAATGACTGGAGGCTGTAGCACAGCCTTCATCAGTGGCTGGGGTGGAATGCATACCCCAGCCTGAAATAGGAGTTGCTGCAGAGCCACATAGGCCTCCGGTCACCGAGGGGTTACAGTCACCTCTATTAAACAGGAGAGTTGTTTCCTTTCATTTCGTGTAGCCACAGGAAGCTGGCAAACTCCCTTCTGAAATATCAGCTTGCACCTTGAACAAAGGCCCAGGCAAACACGTTGGTTTGGGCACTTCCATTAGCTATCAATTTGAGAAGGGTTCAGCATCTTCTGTGGAAGAGAAGCTGAGAGAGAAGGCAATGAGGAAGTACTGGGCACAAAGGAACAGAAGAAAACCAAAGTGTTTTAAGCAGAGAGACAAGATGCGTGAATAAAGACAGACGCAGGGATGGATTTAAGAGTTCGGACCCCTTTCAGTTAAAGTCACAGGCAGATTTTCTAGATTCTAAATCTGAAACAAGTTCTGCTTCCCACTTCCAACAACCACCTCCTCTGAACAGTTTCCTGGAAGGAGCCGGCAGGCTTCATTGCTGTCTCCCCAGCTTTAGAAGAAAGGCTGCTCTTTGGCCGTTACTTTTTCACCCTAATCCCTGTTCCTAACTTAAGGCTGTCCTTCTACTGAAGGAAGTACTCCCCTCTTCCTCCTTCTCCACAGAAAATTAATCACGGTGCTGCAAGTAACACATTCTCTTCCATAATGCTAGTTTAATTACATTAATTAGCTGAACCAAAGTTTATACGAGAAGCCATCATTTCAACAAGAATTTAGGATCTGCGTGGACATAATTTGAGAAATGAAAATTTGAACATCCTTTAGGAATAAACTGAACTACGTCAAACCTGACCTGTCACTAGTTCCTCATCCTGACGTGCAAAACTTGCAAGACTCTGGGTTATTTCCTTCTGTTCAAAAAGTGACAACAATAAGGGAGTTAAAAGCTTCATTTTGCTTTTAAAAGTCTTACCTTGCAGCACTTACCAGAGTGTGTATAATCATGTAAGTGGATTCCCTGCTTGTGACAGAACACAAGAAGGGCCAGTCTGATTTTGTCTATAGTCCATACTTGGATATCCTGTCTCTGATAGAGTCTTTGAATTCTCTTGAGTCCTCTGCTAGCCTGGTCTTTCAACTCATGGGACTTCTGGAGACTTATGTGGTTTGTCTGTTTACTAAACCTCACTCAGTCTCTCGTTCAGTACTTGTTCAGTCTTCCATGGAGTACAGATAAACTATTTGCATTCATAACATCTTTCCCAAGGAGATCTACAAGTTTACCAGCTGTTGCATGAAAAGCCTTTTACCATCAGCCCTCCTTATCTTTTGTTGGCCATCATGCACACTCATCATCAAGCTTTTCAGTGAAGACATCTGTGGTCCATTGGCAGGGCCTGTAAAGCCTATGAAGCTGTACATCTTCTGAGCGAAACCCCTCGAGCAGCGTCTGTGAACACTGACCGTGCATTGTGAAGTAGAGCACAAGGGATCGGTGTGGCAGATAGGAACCTCCACTGCGCTAAAAGAAAACTCCTCTGCAGTTTGTGAGGAGCCGGAACTCATCTGAGGGTGTTGGCCTGCTCTTGGGAAGCCGTCCCAAGCAGAACCCTTCCAGGCACTTACCTGGAGCAATGGTTTGTTTTCAGCTTTGATGCGAGCTCAGGGGGAAGGCAGGGCTGTCCCTGCCAAGTGGCTTGCAGCCCGCACAGAGGCAGAGCGCTGGGGTCCCCGCGGAACTCTTTCAGCCACCTCGGTTAGATACGCAGCTGAGTGGAGCACAACTTTAGATGTTGGTGTTACAGTTCTGTCTAAGCCTTGCTGAAAGCACTTAGAAGTCCTATAATCTTTAGTGATACCATTAATAAGAGGGAAAAATTGCCCTTGTGCTTAGTTTTATAAAGAAAAAACCAAATCAAACCAAAAGCAGGGAGACCTACCAGACCATCTTAAGTCAATGTTCTTCCATTCTTTCTAGGTATGACACAGGGCATAAGTGAGCAGAAGTACATCCACTTCACACAGTTCATTTTCCACACAACTCTAAGCTGTCTACTGAAAATATATATCTAATACTTAATCTACTCTGTCATATTTAAGTCAAATATTTTGCATCTGTAAGATGTTTCAGATACTGTTGAACAACCTACCACATTCATGTGTCGAGATGTTTTTCCCAGTTGATGGCCTAAACTTCTGGCTCCAAAATTTTGTCTTACTTGTCAGGAATACTTTCTTTTAAATACAACTGCAAATAATAACTCGCCTTAATAGTAAAACTATTCAAATATATGTAGACCATATTTTAACAAACATCCTTTTCTCAGATGTTAAGACAATCACATAACATGATATCATATGTATCTTTAAAACTTTTTGTACTTTTTTCTCTTGTTACTGTTTTCTAAACTGTCTCCGGTATATCATCGTTCTTTTGGTAATGAGAAAACTAATTTCAAATTATACATACAAAAAATAATAGAAAAAAAACGATGGCTATCTCTCCCATGTATTCACCCAGTTTTTGTGATGTACAGCCCAGAGTTACAGAGGGTCTTTAATCATCTCCATTACAGGCAATACATACACATAATTAAATATAGTGCCTTAGATCATCGGCTAGTCTAAATTAGCATATCTCTGCAGAAGTGAGTTGCAACAGATGAGGGTGCTGACTGCTGTGTGCAAGCACCCAGTAACACAGGGAGGGCTGTTTTTCAGTACTCCGGTTGCTAGATACATGATATAACATTGTTCTACATAGAAATGCTTGGGAAATGACACACTGCATTTTCAATACTAACCTACTTTCTTCCCTGGCTAATGCATTTCTTTGGCATAATTTTTTTCAAGATTTTTTTTTTTTTAATGAAAACAGGTTGCATTAGCTTCCACTTCTCCAAATCGAATCCCATTTTTGTCACCCACTTCCGCTCTTTCCAGAACCACTTGAATTATTTTAATGTACTTATTTGTGTTTGCAACGGCTCTACAGAAAAAAAAACTGCTTAAGAAAACCTGAAATAGATCTTTGTGGCACCTTTATTTAATACTTCACAAAATGTGATGCCCCTCATTCGTGGTCTTAAATAATTTCGTGAAACCATGTGTCATTTTTCATATCCACGCCATTTGAGTTAATCTGAGGGTAAGATCCTCTTGTCTTCACATTCGCACTGTTTAGAGAGACACTCCATGGATTCTATTGCTGGGAACATAGAAAAGATCTTTCTAAACATTAAGACAAACAATCCTCCCCTGTTATCTGAATAAAACCATTTCAAATGCCATTTGCTGTGGCTAATTGAATTTAGATATACCAAAAAACCTAAGCCTTAACTAGCTGTGCCCTTAGCTATCTGTAATGTGACTACTGCTGCTAATTATACAATTAAATGTTCAAATTTTATAAAACACTATATGAGATGCAATGAACTGAAAATCAGAGGGAGTTACTGTTATGGAAAGATACGTTACTGCGTACAGTTCATCCTGGTTACAAAAGTTTTGAGGCTGCTTCCTTTTCATAATCATAAGATAAAATGGAATTACTTCTTGGCGAAATTATAATTTCAAATGACTGTTAATAGAGATTGTGCATCTCATTGAAGTTGGAGAATCATTCTGTTTACACTAGCTATATATTTATGCTAGTAACGAGTGCTTGTGTCCACTTTTTGGTAGGCTGTCACTTGCTTTAAAATGTCTTCTCACCTTCTCCATCCTCCCCTATTACTCAGGATTAGAGACTTACTACAATCATTTTTTAATCCCTGTGTCTTTCTCTCTCTCTACATTCTAACAAACATTTTTTCTTCTTCTAGAGCATATTAAAAATATTTTCAACCAGAGGAAGGGTTTCTTTCTTCCGAAATTCCTTCCAGTGAACGCTCTGGAACATAGAAGGCTCAAAAGTAGAAAATATCTTTGGTCAGTCCTGGAAGTCTCATGCCAAAAAAAGAGTAAATGGAATTATAAAGAGCTTTTGAACCTCTGTGTGAGGGAGATGCTGGAGGTAGAAGTGTTCCTTGCTAATGCTGTAACAAGAGTGTGTTTGACCAGCTCAGTTACTTCTGAACAGTTTTATTTAGGGACTTTCCTTTCTTAGTCTGTAACCTGCTGGCTTCTGCAAGCAAAAAGAATTATGATTACCTGTACAAATTTTTTTATCATCAAATATTTTTTTCCACAAGGAATGCAAAAGGATACGCTTGTGTGTTGTCAAGCTTAGGCTCCAGGTTTCTCAACATCTGCCTACACATTTGAGTTTGAAATAAGTGATTAGAACAAAGCAAAGTGCATGTTTATATAAAACTGAAGGACTCAGACTTTAATAAGTATTTGACAAATAAGTATATATATTTTACTCTGTGAACTTGTGCTACAGTTTGCTAATAAACAGTAATTTGCAGAATAATTTAGCGTTCAAAATTCACACTAGAGATGTAGGCTCCAAGAATGTTTCGAAAATGACTTTTGAATGTTAAAAAAAAAATGAAAAAGCAAAATTTTTATGTGTAGAAGGTAAACTAATAAATTCCAATTAGTTTTAAAAAAGTAAAGATATTTCATAAAGCTAAAAGTAGATGAAAACGCATTCCCACATGGAAAAGCAATCTATTTACAAATAAAGTGAAATTTATTTTAATTTTCTTTTTTTTTTTCTTTTCTTTTTCCTTCACAGATCAATAACAAGATCTTACTATCGCAATTCTGTGGGTGGCTTACTAGTCTTTGACATCACAAATCGACGGTCTTTTGAACATGTGAAAGACTGGCTAGAAGAAGCAAAAATGCACGTGCAGCCCTTCCAGATTGTGTTCCTGTTAGTAGGACATAAATGTGACTTAGTGTCACAGCGTGAGGTTACAAGAGAAGAAGCTGAAAAGCTGTCATCTGACTGTGGTATGAAATATATAGAAACCTCAGCAAAAGATGCCACGAATGTTGAAGAGTCCTTTACAATTCTTACACGAGACATCTATGAACTCGTAAAAAAAGGAGAAATCTCAATACAAGATGGATGGGAAGGTGTCAAGAGCGGCTTTGTTCCAAATGTTGTACATTCGTCAGAAGAAGCTGTAAAGCCCAGAAGACAGTGCATCTGCTGAATTTGTAGCATGCCAAAGAGCACATTGGGTGTTCAGAAGATGATGCCAACCTAAATAACAGAATAATAATTTTGAAACAATATTAGATCATGACATAGCTGAATCATAGAACAGTAATTTCTTTTTTTTTATCCTTCTGTCTAGGTCATAACTTCATAAAACTTGAAGTGCTTTTTTTCTTTTACAGAGTACAATAACCTTGTGTGGTCTTCAGGAAAAGAAATTATATACTGCTAAAGGAAAAGCTAATCCTGTAGCAAGACACTGAGAAAGCGCAATAATCATTGTGACAACGTCCTCTCTTGGGCTTTGTATTTTGAATACTGTTTAAAATCAAGGCTTGCTAGGTGAGGATCAGATGAGCTCATTACTTTTGTTCATCCTTCCTTAGTTCTGGACAAGAAAATACTATACTTTTTTAATGTGATCCTTTACTCAAGTGCAGAGTTGCTAATGACCATTGACGTTTAGAATGCTGTAGAATTTCCTAATGAAGATAACTAAGGAAAGAAGCTGAAAGATTGCTCCAACAGCAAACACTTTTGATATAACTATGAATACAAGCCTTACTAAAGAAAACGAATGTTTTAGAAAAGATGATTTATTTGTATACGAAAATGGGGAACAGAAGCAATGAAATTTATTATTAAATATTTTCTGAATTGCCAGTGAAACTAAATGTAACATCACATTTGATCCAGCTGTTATTTGACTTGCATACTAAACAGATTTCCCAACCAGGTAATTATCATAGCCACACTGATGCCTAGGGAATTATGTTAATTTACACAAACAAATTCCATTATTAGCTTTAAAAAATAAACCTACTTCTAACTAGAAGTAAAAATGAGTTTAAAAGTGCTGCAACCCATGGGGACTCAGGCCTTAAATTTGAATAGAGCAAAGACTGGTATACTCTCAGCCAGCAAATGTTAAACTGTTGTCTAAAAAATGAAGGTTTTAAAACCTAAACTGTTATGAATAGAGTGTTTGGAGAGGAAAGAATTTCTAAAATAATGATTGGCTACAGAGAGCAAAGTTGGAGAACCCCTGTTCTAAGAAAGCAACACATAATAGCTTTTAATAACAATAATAATAGGAGAAATCTGTGATCGTGTAGCATTTTACTGAGCTTGGGGTCACCTTCCTACTCCTCTAAATATAACACACACTAGCTTTATGCAAACTACGCCCTATATGTCTAGCACTTAAACACCAGATAAGTGTACTTCTATTTTATTGCAGTAGTATAACAAGATGAGCTGATCTCCAGAGTTGATAAGCATCTACAGTTTACTGGGCATACTTATAACCTCTGAATGTCGAGCCGGTTATCTTCATACAAAGGTGTGTTACTGTGTTAACAGTTCTCCGTTTTCAAGACCAGGCAACAAATCTATCTAATCTAACTTTTGTCTTCAACAAACATATAATTGGTTTTCCCTCAGGTTACTTTTAGGTCCTTTTACAATCATTTTGTAAGTATTCCATAGTATACAGACAGGTTGTTTGGTTCCAGTTATTTTACTCATTCAGGGCCACTAAAATTATTGACTTAAAAGGGAACCGATAAGTTAATTTTTTCAATAGCCTGAGTCTCACTTGCATTGAGGCACAGTTACGCTGTCATAGAAGGATGCAGAGGCCTTAATATAAACAGGAATCAGCCTTAATTCATTAGCAATTAAAACAGTTAGTTAATTCTAGTCTCAGCATGTCACAAAGTAATTGTTGTGAGCCTGATTCTCCGTTAAATTATTTGTATTAGTCGTTTACACCACATCAGTTTTGATTTGAGGGCATTTTAGGCCCTTTTTACATAAAAGTGACTACAGATGCCAAAAGGTAGTGCAGAATCAGGCTGTGTGCATTTGACACTAACTCCCCTATGATACTAAGCTCACGTTGTTTATCTCAGAAGTTCTTCTCTTAGTTGTTTAAGAGGACAGAATGGGCCAACAAATAAATCAGTGGCTGGGGAGTAAACAGAACCAAAGTCTATCACTGGTTCACTGTGTGTTTCTGAGCACGGCATTTATGTTTTCTGTGCCTCACCTTCTGTATCTCAAAAATAGAGATGATCGTTCTTCCTTGAAGACTGCTGAGACCCAATCTGACTTTATGATCTTCAGTCTGGACTCTATTCTCTGTGTGCTACCTGTTGTAGAGTGTTTAGCACCATGGAATGTGGATACTGGTTTCTTCTGCCATACCAAAAAAAAAATATATTAAAAATATTAAAACAGCTTTATAAGTACCAGGTATTGCTATTACTATGAATCTACATTTCCTTACACATTTAATTACTTTCAGGTTAAAATATTTTTTCTTAAACTTTTCCTTCCAAATACTCTGGAGCTAATGAGCTTTTCATTCTGTATGAAAAAAAATCAGGTGTACTGAGGGGAAGGGACTGGGAGAAGAGGGGAGGGGAGGTATGGACAGAGAAATTAACAATCATCAGAACAGAGCCTTAATGATCTCTGCTGTTAATGTTGTACCTGTAGTGTCACATTTATCACACTGGGAAGAGAACTTTTAGCCAGATTCAACTATGTAAGGAACTGGTACTGTCAATGCAACTAGAAGTTCACTGCATTTTAAAGCACTGTGCACATAGTTATCTTATTTGTAATTCCTAAAAATGTAGATTAACATGTACATTCAAACATTGTCCATCTTGATATATTAAACCACTACTGTACCTTCTCACTACACACTTGCAGTTACTAGAAATGTCTGATAAATAGATTATTTGCTGAAATACATCATTTTGTTCTCAGATGCTTTGCAGTACAGTATATGAGTAACAGCTTGAACAGGCTGTAGAACGGATTATAGTTCAGTGCACGTGTTCTTTTTTTCTCCCAAGGAAGGGCAAATACGATGCTTACTATTGATACCAGAATGAAATTTCCAGAAGTTACACAAATTGAAGAAATCTCATTTGGCAGCCAAGTTAATAAGTAGAAATTATTTATTAAGAAAACCCCACAACTTTTGCAAATTCAAGTTTGGTAAATCCCAGTTAGGAAAAGGAAAACCTGTTGAAACAGTAAACAGTTTGTACTTGGATTCATAGGCCTGGCAAACAAATAGATACAAACTATTGTTTTGGACTCCTAAAATGTTTACATTTGCATTGCCTTTATTTTAGTTTGATAAAGAAGAATAAAAACCTTCTTCTACTCATTTAACTATTTTACACATGAATTCTTCAGATATTTTGGCTTCCTTATAATTGCATCTGTCCTACTTGAGAAGCAGAACCTAGCCGCACGCCCTAGGAGTCAACCAAGGAAAAAATGTTGAGGTAGCATATGTTCATGCTATTCATTTATGCCTTTGGTATGGAATAGACTTGCCAATCTAACTTCAAGCTAGATGACTCAGTTCCTGGCAACTGTCCTGTGCTCACAGAAAATAGCACAGGCTTGACCAGGCACCCCAGTACCCTGCGGTTGCTCTGTGCTGAGATCCCTTCTGCCACAGCCGAACCGTTACTGGTACCCAAGCTGCATAACTTAAAGCAAAGATAGGTGGATGCTCTGTGCTTAGAGATATTTCAGTCTCAGTGTTGCAGCTCCCTTACAGAATACATGCTTCATTGCCCTTTTTTTTATATAATTAACATCCAAGGAGAGTGTTTTTCCCTCAGCTGTAAACTCCAGCACTTGACGTCAACTCCTCCAAGTCTCCACCCTCACCTTTCACCTGGAGCTGGCACAGCAATCTCAGCAGCCTTTCTTCAGCCTTGGAGAGAAGGAAGGAGGGCTCAGGGATTATTCTCCACACAGGCATGGAACCATACCACAACCAGGCTGGACTGTTTAAGAAATCATTAAATACCAAAACACAATTGTCAATAGCAAACATTGGCATCGCTCATTTCTCAGAATCCAAAAAGAGTCTTTTAAATAAGTAAATGGAAGAGAGAGGAATCTGTAAAGTATAAATCTCTCTAAAAAGCCTAATGGGTAGGACTGCACAACAAAATAAACATTCTGAAAAAAAAAACAGTCCAAGCATTTGTGTAATGATCCTTTGCTCCAGTACTTAGCTGTACGCAGCAGCACCTACGATGCCTAGGTTTCTTAAGGATAATGACGGTATCATTGAATGTATTTAAAACTGAAGAATTCAACCCAAAAGTAATCTGCCTGATCCTCAGAGAAAAAAAATGATTGTATCTCATGAATGCATGTATACTTACTTCCTATCTCATTTCTAGCAGTAATTCGTCTGGGTTTAGTGCCACGTTGCGTGAGGGTTCTCCTCCGAAAACAACAACCTACATAAGCTGTCATTTCACTCACCAGTATTTCCTCCTCTGCGAAGCGAATACAGCTGTGGAAAAGCTGAATTTTACTTTTGAGCACAGCTGAATTGTTTATTACCTTTCAATGAATGTGTAAATCTGATGAAAGTAATGCGATTGAAGACACGCCAGTTAAGCATAATACAAAGACGATGAAGTTGCACAGGTTCCTGAAGACAATTTGCCTTGCGTAATACTTAATTAGTGGAGGTGTAGCATACATGTGAAGAAAACTAAGTTGGTTTCGTTAACCCAAAAATATTTGGCTAAGCAGCACTTCTGACATGGAAGAGTTGGCTCTGTAGACACAGGACTCCACAGAGCAATCGTTTTTCCTCATGGAGTTGCTGATTCCACAAGCAACCAGTGGAACAGCAAGCACACAGCTAAAATGCATCCAGGAAAAGAACTTGATAGCACAAATGCCCAAACATATAATACACACACTGTGGGCGTTTTACCCCTGGGTAGACAGGGAACAGTTGTTCCGCAGCAAATACCACCATAGCACTTGTATGCATCTCCTGCGACTGCCCATCACCCACACAGGAATGGGGAGTAGCAGGCTCTTTATGTAGGGGTAGGTAAACCTTCATTTAAGCTCAAACTGAGCAATCCAAAATCCCAGTCCCGAGCTCCTAGAATGGATCAGTGTCTTTGAAAGTGTTTCATTCACTCATTT